TAGAAGCACGGGACTCGATGTGGACACAAAGGTAGAGTGGGAAAAATAATACAGTGAGTTCAAACTAGTTTGACGGTGAGAACGCTGTCGAGAACATGTTTCCTGTTGGAGCTGCTGGTCGAATCTGAAGAGGGGGACGAGTCCAACGTTTTGGAGCCCAAACAGAAACAAAGGATCCTACAGGAGGAAGAAAAGTCGAGCTGAACAGCAGGTTTATTAGAAATGATCGATGGAAGATGGAAGACAACTACAATGTCTGTGTCTATCGTGGGACAGGATGTTGCCCACTGCTATCAGGGAAGACGATTTGAATTTAAAGAAACTAAAATACTTTTTAAACTTTTGTTTCAATTACGAATAATAATTGAGTCCGATTTGACTAATCAATAGTGCTTTTCATAACACACTGTATAGCACACACACATGTGCATCTGCATATATCTGTGTGTGTCTATACACGCACCAGGCACTTATTATTATTATTATTAGTAGTAGTAGTAGTAGTACTGGTCGTATTAACTGCAATAACAAAATAATTCCCAATTCGGGTTTAATAAAGTACATCTCATCTTACTCTCTCCTCTGGTCTGTTACTTTGCAACATCTAGCAGGGCAACACAGCAGACACACACACACTCGTTACTGTGTGCTGAATGCAACAAACATGACGCAGTGCAAAAATGCGTGTTGTATGTATCACTTTTCAGAGTTTGATTTTGTAAAATTGTAGCAGAGCAGGAAAAGCAGAGTTTTACAGAACATTGGCCAACGACAGCATCCAAACATGAACTCTTACAGCAGGCATAGATCTTACAGTCCCATCCAGCTGTCACCCACTCTCACTGCAAAGATGAAAACAATCTCTCCATTCATAATTCATCTGACCAAACAGGTTTTATCAGTGGTCGACACTCAGCCAATAATACACACAGACTAATTAATGTAACAGATTACTGCTTCATCAGCAAATTAGGAGCCATGGCTGTGTCTTTAGATGCAGAGAAAGCTTTTGAACAGGTAAACTGGGAGTTTTCATTAGAATCTGCACAAATTTGGATGGTTCAGTCTTCATACATTGAATCTAAATGCAGTGTTAGGATAAATGATCTTACTTCCCAAACCTTCAATGTCAGGAGGGCCACCAGACGGGGCTGCACACTTCCCTCCTCACTTTTGGGTGTTTGTATGGAAAAACGTAGATGTTAAAGAAATTCAAAATGAAACTACAGACCATAAGATAAGCCTGCATGCTGACAATGTGCTGCTTTTCCTTTGGAACAAATAAACTTGTCTTCTTAAAACGATCACACTGATAAGTTCTCATCAGTATCAGAATACTCTGTTAGCTGGAGTAAATCAACCGGTGTGATCACCTCCACCACCCCACTGCAGCTGGGTAACATTACAAATTTATGTATACATTTTTCCACCAGCTATTGTTATGATCCAATGTTGTCAGTGTTTGTTTATGTGACTCCTCCCACCAGAGGATGGCTGTGGGTTTTTCCCCTTCTTCTCTTAGGAGGTGGACACCTGGGCGGAGTCTCTTCCTGTCCTGGGATTGGATAATTGGTTGATCACCTCCAGTATTTAACTACCGGATGACAGCCACCTGGCCCCCCCTCTCTACTAGCCTCCACATCCAACAAAGAGCCTGTGTTTTGAGTCATTGTGTCTTTGCCCATTGATGTGCAAGTATAACTGTGTGTGTGTGTGTGTGTGTGTGTGTGTGTGTGTGTGTGTGTGTGTGTGTGTGTGTGTGTGTGTGTTGTTAGTATCTTAATTTTGTAAATAGCTGTAATAGATTTGTAAAGCAGCAATTGTGTATTTTGTTCCCCTTGTATATATCCTTCACTGCAGCAGCCTGGTAGGCGTGAGGAGCCATTTTTGTTGATTGAGTTTTCTCCTGTTTGTCATTTAGAAACTTTGGTAAATGAATTGTCTTGTTTTTCATTTGTGTAGGAAAGCATAGGGACCATCAGGGAGTTCTGTTTGTTATTTTTAACACTGCTCACTGCTGAAGCAAATAAATGGCTGCTTAGCACTTTAAAAGATACTGTTTGTTTTCTTGCTTTGGTGGAGTGGGAGTGGGCCAATTTCTTGTTGCGTTCAATACACGCCCAGACAAAGAACGTAACACTATTGAACTATATTCCTCTACTAAATATGGCAGAAGATGATATCACAGGTTAAATCAACTAAATGTTCTGTCATGGCATGAGAAGTGAATACAACATTTTCAAAATCTGGAATGAACAACAGCAGGTTTGTTGAATAGCAGCTGTCCACACGTGTATCCCAGCCTCAGCCAAACTGTGCATCGTAGCCAAAGCTAACATGGAAACAAATACATCACACATACAGTCCTCACTGCCCTATGCCCAGTTTGTATATTACTCAGTGGTTGGACGAGTGTATTTCTCTCTGGTCCGCACTGATCACTTCCATCACGTGGCTGGTGGTGCTCAGCTGCAGCCCCAGCTCCCCGTGTCTCTTGCTGGGGGTCTGCGTAAGTCTAGCAGCCTCCTGGGGGCCTGGGATCTGTTCTGGGGGATTCTCCTTTTTCTATTTCTTTGCTTATTGTTCAGTCTGGTGTTCGCCCCCCGACTGATGCAGCATAACATCCACAAGACAATATGAATAATAAAGTAAATAAATAAAACAAAAACGTTAACAAGAGGAGCCTACAGCGAGGCTACGGTGCTCCTCCCGGGAGAGCAAATATGTTTGACACAACAAAGGATTCAGACCATAATTCTGCTTGGACAGGACAAAAACCCCAAACCAAAACGCTGCATAAGGAACAATCCGTTTACTATTATTAATAAATTTGTCCATAGCTGTCAAACTGGCCGAGGATGTGAGAACATGATCACAGTGCAGCATACTGCAGCCACTTCTCTGCAAACAAAACCCGCTAACATCAGGTTTTGTGGGACGTGATGCTGATTCGGTCCGGGCATGCTCTCTCAGGTGTTAAACTCTAACACTACTGAGGACAACACCCACAACATGCTCATTTTACCCCTGTGATGCTATGACAGCATGAACTCTGCTACAGCTTCCATGAACGGTTTATTGTCAGTCCCAAAAGTTGAATCTGTTCATCTGAAACCAGCACCGCTGATTAACAATGACCATTGATCAGTGTGGCTGTTGATCAATGGTCATGATAATTTCCGTATTAATGACCATGAAACTGACGTTGCGGCTCACCGTTAGTCAGAGGTGCTGCTTTCAGTCATTATGCAAATGTGCCGTTTATAAACCTGCATCAGCTGAGACTGAAGTCTCATTCAGTCGACTTTGATGGAAGAGCTGCAAAGAAGAAACGTAACGCTGTCAGAAACCTTCATGTCTTCATATCCTACTCGAACTCCATTAAAACATTTAGCTAAAACAGAAGAGTGACCTCATCACAGCGCTAAGCATCGATGTGAAATGACAAAACTTTCATTCTCACAAATCCAAAAATTAAACAATTTCACAAACCGCATGCAGATTAAACTTCAAGGTTGTAATGGCGGCTCGCCATAAACTACAAGCTGATTTAACATGAACGTAACTTCAAAAACAACAGCAGCTGTTTCCTGACATCAGCCCACAGGAGGCCACGACAACACAGAAAGGATCGAACTTAAAGTGTTTCAGTATCTTCAGAATCGTCTTTGTGATGACGTAAAGTCAGAAATGGATATATTTGAAATTTTAATAATAATAATAGTTACATTCTTTAAAAAGATTTTAATTGGAAATAATTCATTTTTATTGGCTCCAGCCACCCACGACCCTGATGGATAATTAATGTTTGATTTATTCAAAAGCTTCTAACAAAGATGATTGTTAGAAGGGAAACACTTACTGTTGCTAATGTTTACTGCATTACAGTGGATGAAAAAACAATTCATTGCAGTGTTAAAATAAATAAATAATTAAAACCTTGTCTGTAAAATTAAAAAATGATTAGTTCCAGATTTTATTCCCATTTAAAGAAGTTAAATGATCCAGTGTTTTATTATCAGTTATACTTACAAATATACCAACGATTGTGTTTCTATACAGGAGCACAGAAACACTCGATTTCTGCCAAATAAAATCTTCTATTTCTATTTGTACGTATCGAAACTACAGTCTGTTCCAGTGAATATGCAGACTACTGAAACGCACACACTGATAAATAGATAAAATATTACACAAAAAGAGAGCATGAATCGTTTGGTCATAATGAAATGTTGCTGTGCACCAATTAGGTTCGAGAGATAATGAATTACTGTGACGAGGTTTATTGTTTCCGGTGCTTTGACTCTTTGTGACTGTTGTTACAGAATCACTAACTTATTTATTTTCTGCTGTTTTTGTACTTATCACACACGTGCCCACAGAGACAGAGTCTGAAAATGAAAATAAAATATTCACATTTTTAGATACAAACGAATAAGTTTCCTTTTTAAAATTTAGTAACAACAGTTCTTATGTTGCAGTTGCCGTCACAGTAGTAAAATACTCCACCATGTCCCAGTTTGTAGGCGAGAGAAGCTATAAAGGACGTGTCACTGCTAATGTGAAATAACGTTTCTATTTATGGGTCGGACTGCGCGGAAAATCAAGTAAAAGTTCTTCAGGCACTTTATTACCTTTTAACTTTATTAATCATGATAATGTTTCAATATCAGAGTTGCTGCCATTTCCAATAAAATCATCACATTTCAGCGAGTAGATACATTAATATTGTAACATCATGCTGTCAGTCTTTTTTTAAAGAATTATGTACATAACTGACCCTTGTTATTCCGATACACCGATGCAGTTACTACCTGGAACCAATTTAGGAAGATTGGCTCACACTCCTGTGATGGTTACTAGTGCCTGTTTAAAAAGATTATATATGAAACAAAATACTAAGAAGATAAAAATAAAATACACATTGAAAATACAATCGAACATTTAACACTTGGTGTGCTGCGTTCGCTTACTGCCAAAACGTCAGCGGTCTCTCTTACCGTAGGTAGTCTCTTCGACACAGGATGAGATTGGCTTTGGTGTACAGAGTGGATCCCACCTCGCCCAGTCTGCAATCACAGCAGGCACACTTGAGGCAGTCCTCGTGCCAGTACTTATCGAGAGCCTTCAGCAGGTAGCGGTCCTTGATCTTCCGGTTACAGCCGGCACAGCCTTTAGGCTTGGTGTCCGGCTGGACGGAAAGCATTTGTATACCTGGGAGAAGCACAAACAAAGCTTTAAAATCATCGAGCAGGTAAACACATGAAGGATCACAGAACGATTAAATGAAAAAAAATCAAAACCTGGATAAACAGAGAACTAGACCTCAAGTTACATACATGTAATGCACTGTTTAAAATCATGGCAATTAAGAACATTGACAAGAAAAGTGAAATAAGACATAAAATCAGGGATAATGTGCTTTGATTTTAATGCAGCCCTCAGTCTTACACTGTCGTGTTTGTACAGTCAGTGTTATCACAAAATGCTCAGAGTTACAGATTTGTTTTTTAATTGGGAACTGTGATGACATTTACTACATGTATGTATGTTGTAGGTATGTGTGTGTGGTGTTTTCCTTTATTTGGGAATATTTACAATAAGAGCTCCGTAGTGTAGTGGTTTACAGATCGGCCCCGTCCAGAGAAGACATAAATACCTTTGGGCTTTTGCACCTGTTGTAAGAAAAATCTGGTAAATCAAACATGCAAAGCTGCTGTGAATCAGGGAGCAGTTCAAAGTAGATCCAGAATGAGGTTTAGTGCAAAGACTGCAGCAGCTTCCATAAAGGTGTTACAGTAAAGACGAGCTGTGCAACATTTATAATTCAGACTGAAACAACAGTTTCCCTGATTAGCACATCAGTCAGAGCAGGATGTGGTGCATTGTTTGATTAAAGAAACACTTCTTACAGGAACCCGACACTTTTCTGACCTTAGCACACATGTTTGCCTTACATTTGATTATGTCCAGGCAGAGCAGCTTTTACACAACCATGAATGAAAACACTGAGTTTCAGTGCATGCCCACACAGACCCCACGCCACAGTTTCCCAGCTCTTTTGCACCTTAGTCTTTGGGGGTGTGGTTAGAGCCGAGGAGGTTTGCAGTGGCCTGTATTGTTTGGCCTGAGCTAACTATGGGAAGCCTTTGTTGGGCCGTTGAGGCGGTGAGAAGGTGGGGGTCACTGAGTTTTTGCATGAGGCTGGAATTAGTATTCTCCTGCCATTCTCCGAGGAGTGGCACGGTCCCACTCCCCTTTGTCCCCCACCCCCGCCCACACACACAGACCACAGTGTTTAAGCTGCATGTTTAGCTCGGGTCATCTTTAAATATTAAAACCTGTCAGAGTTTGAGGGCTGCACCGTGTCGCTGTAGTCGTTTGTCCTTTGAGGTTACAAACATAGTTTTATTATGTTAGTTGGCTTAGTTGTAAGTGCAGACTGATCAGTATTTATTACCAGATAACTTGAACCTGCTGTTCACTGGAATAAACACAGCGTCCTCTATCGTGTTTAAATGTCACATGAAAACTGCGTTGAATGTGTTCAGCAGCAGGAAACGATGCAGTTTGAATGACATGTGTTTACAAACTATTAATAATCTGTAAAAACAGATGTGCGTCCTTTTAATCTCCCACAAATTCTGTAAAAAGTTAGTTTTTCTCGCCGCGGTGCGGGAGGCGGCTCAGCTCGTTTGTGTTGTGTTGGGGCTGCCGATTTGTTAATTGGCTGGATTTAGAGAACGGAGCGCATGGCTGCTCCCCCGCGCCCGCTCAGCGGCACTGATCCGTCCGGCCTCGTTAACACTACAAAGTCCCCGCGACTCATTACCAAACCAAAAGAAGCAAGAGTTTCCACAGCCCTTTTACTGTGCCATAAACTCGGCAGAGAGGAGGGGAAGCACGGCAGGAATGTGGCCGCTTCGCTTTTTCGATTGCCGGGGAAGTGCTGAACAAAAGCTCCCAAAGAAAGCTCGGAGTACTAATCATATCTGTTCACTTGCTGCTGGCTCGTAGCCTCCCTTTCCCCCGTTCATTGTGGGCTTCTAAGCTGCTGCTGCTGCGCGTCCGCAGCATCATCGTGTGAATCCCGAACGAATGGAGGACGGCGAACAGAGACAACAACGGTGTTCCAGTGCGAGCTGATGCTCGCGTTTTCACCCCGAGTTTAATCACTGTTGTCGTGGGAGCGCATTATCGTTAGAGGCCAATGACGGATTTCACAGACTCGCATTTCCACGCACCTCGCACAAACACATGGAACAGCACCGTGTGGACCTGTCTGCCGTTTAATTACCGACAAACGCACACCGCTCTCACGCATTCGTGAGGTGCTCTCGATAAAATGAGGCAAGTTAGATAATGGATCGTTTCTAGCAAAAGCAGGTCAGATGTGAACGCGTCGCCTTCGACGCAGAGATGCTGTAACTTGTCGTCGCAGAACACTCCAAACACACAGAAAACGTTCCGTTCATACAAGCCGAAGCCAAAGAAAGCGTCTTACCGAAACTTTTCTCCCTTTTCTGCATTTGTTGAGCCGCTGGAGCAGCCGAAGCACCACCATGCAACCCGGAACCGCCTGGACCGGAGATCAGCTGTCTGCAGGCAGACTGAGATCAGGCTTTGTTAGAGAGGGAACAATCCAGCACGGCGGCCAAAGTGGAATGAAGAGAAGGAGAAACGCCGGCTAATAAAACGCAGGCGGATGCGTTTGCTCCCGTCGGGCGTCGCACAGTGTGTGAGAGCACGTTTATCGGTGCGCAGAGAGAGGCAGGCAGCGAATGACAGAACGACAAAGAGATGCTTCCCCTCCACGACACTGGCAACCTCATCACAGCGGCTCCTGCTGCATGCTGCTTGGCTCATCAGCAGGCAGAGCAGAGGTTACGCACAGCGGCTCCCTCACCGAGCAGTAAGCGCGCTCTTCCCAAACTCTTACACGTATGAAGCCTTGTTTTCGACGCTATTTCTGCCACCTTTGTTTTCAGTGAGGCTCATTCTTCTGATCACTCACCTCTCTCAGCAAGTTTCAACCGAAGCCTAAACTAAAGCAGCGAATTGAAGCAGCTACAGATTGCCAGAGTTGGAGCAACTGGCAGCGCAGGTCGCCACATTGACCTGGAGCTTGGAAACAAAGACTTCCAGGAGCGACTGCTTGGTGTGTCAGCAGCTAGCTACAGGTGGAAGCTGCAGGGAGCTCGGGTCTGTCAGAGACTGAAGTTTCTCTTAGTATTCTCCCACCTCCAGTCTTCTCAGCAGTGACACGATATGATCAGTTATTAGCAGCTGTTTTTAAAGGATGCCTCCCGTACACGCCCACTTTCTTTGATTTTGGAGGGTCTACATTATAGATACAGAAGCAAATGCAATAGTCCACGTGTAGGTAGAGCAGTTTACTCCTAACACTGACACTAATATTGAGATGAGCAGCTCTCAGAGAGTCACAGAGGTAACTCCTTGCATTGTTTATTTCAGCCTACAGTACATCTGCACAGGGTTCTAATTATTAACATTTAAAAAGATCAGTCCGAGTTTAAGCCCCCAAAAGAGAAAGAAAGCACTGTCTACTGCTTGCACTTTTGTTTGGTAAAAGACTAGTGTGAGAAAATGCAAACATCACAGTGCATATAATGGCTCTGTGATTACACCAGCCTGTGGCAAAGGGAGGTCTCCAGCTGGGTTAACATCAACAACTCTGATTATCATCTCGCCATAGTTGCTTTTAATCATTCTTGTATTAAAGGACAAATGCATTCGCCAGGTTTCCGTGTCAAGTCGTGCATCAATTAGCGACCTAGTTTAGATGAGACGAGGCAGCGAGGAGGCCCGAGTGTCACGGTATGGTTACCCCATACCTTCCTCCCCACCGCACCACTGCTCCCTATCACACACACAGATGTGTCATATAAATATGATGATAGACAAATGAAAGTGTGGAAGGCACTGAAGGAGGAGACACAAGTCAATAGTTGGCATGCAACTCCAGCCAAAAATGCAGCAATAATGAGTTGGGTCATAAAATGCTCTCCGCGCCATTATGAGTGATGAGATGCATTAAAGCTGACAGGGTATTACCTGCCAGTAATTAGGTTTTGTCATGGATTGAATTATTTCAAGGAGGCCTATCTCGGTAATCATGCAATCTGCTGCAGTGTGTGTGAGGCTTCCACCCCTCTCCTGGTGCCCTTCCACCCTCCTTTCACTTGCTGTGTTCAGCCAATTATTCATTCTCCGTATGAATATAAGATGAAGACAGAAAGCAGGAGTGTATGTGGAGAGCGGGGGGAGCGGTGAGCATCGCGCGGCTAGCCGGGTCTTGTCATGCACCATACAGTACTCTGCCAAACGCAAAACCGGAGAAAGGGGACTTCTGCTACACACTATGACCCCAACCATCAGCCTGTAATGAAGACACAAACGAACGTGCACCAACACCAGACACGCTCTGAACAGCCTTGCATACATGACATTTCAGCAGGAAGCAAATCTGCTACATTTCCATCCGATCTCTTCCCTGGGAGCTCAACCAGCTCTTTACACGCAGCCCTCGCTGGGGCTAAGCTTTGAACCAAGAGAAGCAGAGCACTGATAACACATACCTTGAAGGAGCTACAGCCAGGGATGCCCAAAACAAATACTGCCGTGGTTTCGTCTTCTGTGTTCTCTTGACTTTGAATGAAAATCTCCAGAAGGTAACTTTGTGAGAGCTCGGCCAGCTCCCGCTTTTCTAAAGAAAACTTTGCCGCCAAAGTTTTATGGTTTGATAACTGTTAATAGCTGAGCTTTGACCCTAAACTCTGCTCCCCTCGCTGCTCTGTGGCTCCTGCAGCTCTGTCACAGAGCATCCCTTTCCCCCTTCTCCTTCCCTGCTTGTATCTCTGTGTGTCTCTCTGTTTCTCTGACAGGGAAAAGCAGCGCACAGTCGAGCCTCCTCTCCTATTTAAGCCCCTCCACCAGGTCCCCAGTCAGCAGCACACTCCAGCTCATCCAAGAAGCTGACAAGCACCGTTAGGGAAGGCAGCGCATGTTGCTCTAATGGACCTCATTAAGCTCTACTTACAGATGTTCTCTTAACATAATTGATCTGCAGCGAGTTGAGAGGACGGCAACCTATTCCCCAGCCCCCAATTATGGCCCGGTAATTAGATCCCCAACCTCCAGTTCTCCACATTCACCCTTCTAACATTCCGAAATATCAAAGTATCTCTTTCTCTCAAAGCGACCACCCCTCCCTACACCACCTCACCTCCGTGTCTCCTCCCTCCTCCCCACAAGACACTATTGACAGTCAGATCTGCTAACCTTTGTAGTGTAGCCAGATTAGCAGTGAACTCACTGCTATTGACAGCGCTCACTCAGTTTTCTATTCCTCCTTTCTCTCTCCTTGCCTTTTCATCCCCGTTGGGAGACAGAGAGAAAGTGAGTGGCACAGATGGAGGAAAGGGAGAGCGAGCGAGGGGGGAAACTGAGTCGGCATACGCCATAAAACATCCTAATGGTAATATTTGTCTTCATCTTTTACCTCAAATAATTCCTCTGATGCCAACTTGGAATAGAAAAGGTGTTGGGTGGAGATGCCAGGAGCTACAGAGTCGTGATAATGTAGCTTAATAGTGCCAGTCAGTGTCACTCCTGTAGCCCCAATGTTGAAACAGAAAGCGGTCGAGTAGAATGTCCTACTTTTGCATCACGTAAAAAACAGTTTATGATGAAAAGTAATAAAATATTGTTCCCAGATCTTTAAGTTTTCACAAATGTAACAAAATAGTTTTTCAGGATGTCAGGAAACGGGACACATACTCATTTTACATCGAGTCCACTTTGGTCCTAACTGATCAAACTCAATCCCTGATCTCAACGTAAGCTAAAGAAGTGCAGTTTCAAACACATGCATTCATTTTTCTACATGATAAATGTGTCTAAGTAAAAACTTTGATGTTTATTGTTTTATATATATTCAAAAAAATTTGATGAAATTTAAAAACTAACATTTCTATTTCCAGCCACCAGGCTGAAGAAAGAGTCCCACTGGGCTTGGTTAGCCTGTGGGACTCCGGAGGCAGCTGACAGGTATCGACAGGCCAAGCAGAACGCGACGCGGGCGGTGGCGGAAGCAAAAATTCGGGTGTGGGAGGAGTTTGGAGAGGCCATGGAAAAAGACTTTCGGACTGCCTCGAAGAGATTCTGGCAAACCGACAGGCGTCTCAGGAGGGGAAAGCGGTGCTCTACCTGCACTGTGTGTAGTGCTGGCGGAGCGCTGCTGACGTCGACTGAGAAAATCGTCAGGCGGTGGAAGGAATACTTCGAGGACCTCCTTAATCCCACTGACACGTCTTCTTCATCTGGGGAGGAGGGGAGAGACCCGCCAATCTCTGGGGGCGAGGTCACTGAGGCAGTTAAACAACTCCCTGGTGGCAGAGTCCCTGGGGTCGACGAGGTCCGCCCCGAGTTCCTGAAGGCTCTGGACGTTGTAGGGCTGTCCTGGTTGACACGCCTCTGTAACGTTCAGAATCAGAATACTTTATTGATCCCTGGGGGAAATTATTTTTTGTTACAGTGCTCCATTTTAAACCAACATTAAGACAAGACAGACAATACGCTAACTAAGAATAGTACAATATATACATATATATACATACATAAGTCACTCATTAATAAAAAGCTGGAAAAGAAACATGTGTAGTTGTAGCAGCAAACAGTGTGTTAAGTGGATGCGTTGTACAGGGAGATGGCCACAGGCAGGAATGATTTCCTGTGTCGTTCAGTGGTGCTTTTCGGTAATCTCAGTCTCTCACTGAACGAGCTCCTGTGACTGACCAGCATGTCATGGAGTGGGTGGGAGGTGTTATCCAACATTGTCTTTATCTTGGACAGCACCCCTGGACTGGCAGACCGGGGTGGTGGTCCCCATCTTTAAGAAGGGGACCGGAGGGTGTGTTCCAACTACAGGGGGATCACACTATGGCAGGGTGCTGGAGAGGAGAGTCCGCCCGTTAGTCGAACCTCAGATACTGGCTCTGTCAGGGCTGCCCTTTGTCACCGATTCTGTTCATATTTGTTTGGACAGGATTTCTAGGCGTAGCCAAGTGGCGGAAGGCTTCCACTTGGGTGGTCTCAGGATCTCATCTCTGCTTTTTGCAGATGATGTGGTCCTGTTGGCTTCATCAGGTGATGGCCTCCAGCTCGCACTGGAACGGTTCGCAGCCGAGTGTGAAGTGGTGGGAATGACAATCAGCACCTCCAAATCTGAGGCCACGGTCCTCAGCTGGAAAAGGGTGGAGTGCCCACTCCGGGTCAGGGACGAGAGCCTGCCCCAAGTGGAGGAGTTTAGGTATCTTGGAGTGATGGGAGAAGAGAGCCGGAGATTGACAGACGGATTGGTGCAGCGGCTGCATTGATGCGGACGCTGCACCGGTCTGTTGTGGTGAAGAGAGAGCTGAACGTAAAAGCGAAGCTCTCAATTTACTGGTCGATGGTGGTTCGGGCATCTGACAAGGATGCCCCTTGGACACCTCCTGGATGAGGTGTTCCGGTCATGTCCCACCAGGAGGAGGCCCCGGGGCAGACCCAGGACACGCTGGAGAGATTATATCTCTCGGCTGGCCTGGGAACGCCTTGGTATTCCCCCGGATAAGCTGGAGGAGGTGGCTGGGGAGAGGGAGGTCTGGGCCTCTTTGCTTAGGCTGCTGCCCCCGCGACCCGGCCCCGGATAAAACTGAAGAAAATGGATGGATGGACATTTCTATAGTAGACAGTGAAAAACAGAACCTTTCCTTTAATTCTTTATCTATTAATTGTAATGAATTAATGTAACGACTGTGGAGGAGCTCGGTATCAGCAGGAAAAGCTGTTAAAATTTATAAAGAAAACCAATTAAAAGCATGGCTGCCTTCATATTTTTCAAAGCCATGCAGGGGCCATATCCCAATCCTTGCTGGCCGATTCTGGCCCCGGGGCCTTATGTTTGACACCCCTGGTCAAGTTCAAGTCGAGAAAATTTGGTAACCTGAC